TACATAGAACGTACATATTAGAAGGGTTGAACTATTAAGAGAAATACAATTTATTTTTATATTTTATGCTAGGACACAGACACAGACTGATAAAAAAACAGTCACCCACACCCACATACACCAAACGACTAAATCTATTTATATAAATAATAAATTGAAGAATCACAGTAACAAGTGGAACTGTTTTAACTGTTTTAACATTTTAACTACATTAGATTTAACTTTAAAATTGTGAATATGTGAATAACATCGTATATCTCGTCAATTTTACAAAGCACCGATTTTTAGATATCCGGTTTTGGCCATTATTCGAGTAACGGGTTATTCGAATAACCGGTTTTAGAATATCCGGTTTTAGCAACTATCCGACTAACCGGTTTTATCTGAAATCGGTTTTTACGGAACCCGGTTAACCGGTTTCACTTTTTTCCGCTTTTTGCCAGCACTAATAAATTCAGCTTGCCGAAACAAAAAGTCGCGAAATGGTCATTTCCCAGCTCTTTTTCCTGGCCTATAAAGAGAAATGTTAAAAAAGGGTGTTTCTGGACTAGTGATCACTCGTAAAATTTGAATTTGGGTGGTCAAAGTAAGATAATAATATCCTGTGAAGGAATATTTTGTAACGCTTTGTATAGAGAGTTGAAGTTTGAAGAAAAAATCCCAGAACTTAATTTGACCACCCACTAAATTTGGTTACGTTGACCATCGGGGCCATTGTCACTGGGCTTTTCAGAAATTTGATCGCCACGTGTATTTCCTAGTTATAATTACCGAGTGTAAAGCCGCTTTATACTTCAAATGTTCCACTTGCCTTTAGGTGAACCACCATATTTTGGAATGTACATATGGGCATTTCTTGGTAATTCGTAACTTTTGGCTTTCTCTTTCTCCTTAAGGATAAGTTTTTCGTAATAATCTATAGTTTCCTTTGTCGAGCTAGCGCAGTAAATTATAAAATTGACAAATACGGTCAAAAAAAGGTTCACCATTTTATTCCGATCACCTGTCCACTGCAACTTTAGAGAATTCTACTAAGCAATATTTTCCTACACGAGCCTAGTGTAATAAAAAATTTAAAAATGTATTAATATAGATAAAGTTTCATTATTCACGCATAAGTAAAGTAACTGTCTACTATCAGTAGGTGCGTCTACAGGGTTGGGTAAAAAAGGGACTACTGCTGTCTAGAAACCATTAACCATTATTCGGAATAATATATACTGCATAGGCTGACATTGTTTTATTTTATTCTGTATAGAAAATTAAGAAAAACATGAGCTAAAATATTAAATACAGTTATTAGAGCCCATAAACAAAAAAACATGCATTAACTTCCTTAAATGATTAAAACGATACACTTTTGCCATGAATTTTTACAGGCAACTGTTTAGATAACATTAGACCGTTTTAAATTAAAAGTTTTAATTGCCTTTTTACCTCGGTCTGATTATAATTCATGGTAAAAGCACGTCTGTACAAAAACATTTTGTACTATTTTACATTATTCTCAAAATGATCAATTCGTAGTGTATATTTTTAATTCCAGCGATAATGTTTTTAATGACTGTGTTTATTGCCTCTTTTTAGTGTGGTGAAAATAAATATGTAGTTTAAGTACTCACTTTGGAAATCTAAAGACTTAAATTCCATAACCATAAATTATTTTTTTTTAAATGAATAAGAGCACGTGTCTCATTGCAAAACCAAGCTTACACTTTATCATTGTAAATGGCCCCTAATTGTATTGAAATATGTTTGCTAGCTACTGAATGGGTAAAAAATTAAAATACAAAATATGTCACCCGGACATCCAAAGTATATCCCTCAAAATATTCAAACATTCTAAGGCTGTCTTATTAACCGCCATAGGGGTAGCTACGGTGGGGCAGACTGGGGCGCTCGACCGCCCGCCCCCTGGTTCATTTAAAATTTAAAGAAGCAACAAAAAAATATTAAGAAAATGAAATGTAAAACTGAATTATTTAAAAACCTCCTACAATGTAATTTAGTGCTAGTCCCAGAAATACCTTTAGTCCAACCAAATTACACTTGGAGAAAAAAAAATTGGTACCTGGTATTGGTATAAGTGGAAATGGTAAAAGGGCTTATAATAAACCTAAAAAAAATAAATGCGTGAGCAGGGGCGGCGGAGGATTGATTTGGGGGGTTGAAAAGTTATGAAAAATTGTATCATTGGGATTTCTGGCGAAAGTTGACGTCAAACAAAAAAGTATCCAATACAAAAGTTGTAGATCAGGCAACTTTCCACTTTTTAACATAACCTCAAAATTTCCGAGAAAAATGCGATACAGGTTTTTTTCTGATTTTTCGATTTTTATTTTTCATTTCCGCAAAAATAATTTAATTTTGACGAAACTTGGTGAAAGTATACCTTTCTCTGTCTTAAATAACCTCAAATTTTTTTAGATAAAAAATCAAGAAGTTTCTGAGATATTCATTTTTTTCGGCCTGAAACACTTTTTTTTCAAAGNTGTTCACTTTTTATTTCTTCTGCGTCGTTTTATAATCACATAATCCATCATTCCAAGTAATAAAACGCGTTTAAAATCGTTTTTGTTCATGTTTTCGTAGAACACTCAAGCCAACTACACTTACGACTGACAAATAAATTGCTCTGATTTTTTGGACTTCCGAAAGATCAACGATGACAGAATAATCTTACCTAATTTAGAGATAAATCTTTGTGAATGACACGGACGTAACAAATAAACTGTCAAATAAACTTTGTACAATAATTCGATTCAATAAAACTTCGCATTAGTGTCCTCTATAAGATTTGTCTGAAAGATTTTTCTTAACGATTTATCTGACGATTATGTGGTACAATTTTTTTGCATGTGTATTCAGCTAAAATTTTGGTATATTATACAATTTTTCTTGATGACCCAAACTAGCAGTTTTGTCTTTACAATTTATGCAATTCAGCAATAAATCGGCAATCAGCTTTTTAGAGAGGACACTAATGCGAAGTTTTATTGAATCGAATTATTGTACAAAGTTTATTTGACAGTTTATTCGTTACGTCTGTGTCATTCATAAAGATTTATCTCTAAATTTGGTAAGATTATTCTGTCATCGTTGATCTTTCGAAAGTCCAAGAAATCAGAGCAATCTATTTGTTACTCGTAAGTGTAGTTGGTTTGAGTGTTCTACGAAAACGTGAACAAAAACGAATAAATTTTTTTCGAGGTACTATTTCAAGAGTTGACTGATTTGTGGATATGAATGTGGAAAGTCATATACCAGGAAGATCGGAAGTACACTTTTGGTAATCCTAAACAATCGAAAATTTATTTAATTTTTTTTATTTTTTCACACCTCAATGATAATAGACTTTACCAACAAAAATAGCGCGAACTATAAGAACTATGTTTCACTAAGGAATTATATTACTGAGCTATTAAATATAGATTCTATATTTAATAGCTCAGTAATGCAGGGTATTATTATTTTAATTTTTAGTGACCAATCCCTAAATGAAAAATAAACCGTAACAACATCTCGCGCAGATATTTCCTCCAATCAACACGTACTAACACGCAGATGACGCTCTACAAAATATCGCCCGATAATTCACGACAGTTTTATCTGCCGTTTGATCGCTGTGTTAGTAAACGTAACAAAATAATTGCTACAAAATTATTTGCCAACAATTTATCCGCCAAAATTTTGGTATTTTACAATTTTTCTTGATGACCCAAATTAGCAGTTTTGTTTTTACAATTTATGCAATTCAACGATAAATCGGCCAAATCGGTCGATAAAACTGCTCGTGTATATTCAGCTAAATGAAAGAAAGAAGACAGCGTGACAGCTTACAGTTTGGGGTATTGAGCAATATTTTAAATATAATGAAGGTTTGACAGCTACAGTTCGCAATTTTCGTACAAAACATGGTCGGAATAGGATTTAACCTCATCAGCTGTAATGAGATTAATTGAAAAATTTAGGAAAACTGGATCAATTAGTTATCGAACACAAAAGATCGAAGCAGTTTGTGTGAGTCTTGCTGAGAGTCCAGGAACGTCCATTCGGTACCGTGGTCAAGGATTGAACATGGCGAGAAGCTCTCTACAGTTCAACTGACTTAAGAACTGAAGCCTACTGATCGCACAGAGCGAAGAGTTCGTTGAAAGGATTATGGAATAACAAGTACCTAGATGCTGATTTTTCGAACAAAATCATCTTTAGCGATGAGGCTCATTTTCATCTTGATGGCTTCGTTAATCGACAAAATTGCCGCATTTGTGGTTCAGAAAATCCACGAGTAATTATTGAGAAACAAATACATCCACAACGTGTAACTGTTTGGTGCGTATTTTGGACTGGAGGCATCATTGGACCATTCTTCTTCGAAAATGCGGATTGTCAAGCAATAACAGTTAATGGTGCTCGCTATCGCGAAATGATAATGCAGTTTTTTGTGTGTTAATTGCCAGATATGGATGTAGACGACATGTGATTTCAACAAGACGATGCCACATGCCACACAGACCGAGAAACATTTAAATTACTGCAGGAGTCATTTCCTAGTCGTGTAATTTCCCGTTTTGGTGATCAGCATTGCCCGCCCAGATCATGCTATTTAACGCTGTTAGACACTTTTCTTGGGGTTTTTCTGAAGTCTAAGATTTTTTCCAATAAGCCAACGACCACTGACGCCCTTAAGGAGGCGACATTATTTTTATAATCTGTAAAAATGTAACACATGCTTAATTGGAGAGAAAAAATAGTTTTTGTGGAGAAATAAAAGATACCTACATAAGAAAATTATACTCAAGGAAAATATGATTGTAGTATAACTAATAAAAAAATTTAAGAACTAATAATCAAAATATGCGCCTTCCAAGTTTTAATACGATGTGTGGATTACTTCTGGAGATGCTTGAAAAACAGTTTAAAAAATGTTTAATTTCTAGGACTTATGATACGTTTTTCTGAAACACCCTGTCTACTATTAGGGAAAGGAAAATTACTACCTAAGCAAGACGTCTTTTGCGGCACAGAGTAGTATCCCCAGTTATAGTCACTAAGCATAGCGACGTCGTAGCCCAATCGCGGTATGTCAGTAACTTCATTACCAAATTCGCCAGCCTCCAAAACTAGTATATTCCACCGTTTTACTTCCGACAAGCGTCTGGCTATCAAAGATCCTGTCGAACCGGCCCCTGCTATTATAAAATCAAACGTACCAAAATCTGAAAAGGGAAAGCTGTAAATAATTGTAATTTTTCTTAAAAAGAAAAATTTTATTCAAAACCTGCAAAGCTAACAAGGTATTAAGAAGTTCTGAAACGTCAGTGTTCCTAAAGGTGATAAAAAAGCAATAGGCCAGGAAATATAGAGTTGGACGCGACTTTTTGTTTCGGCAAGCTGAATTTATCACTACAGATGCTAAATATTATGTACGATAACATATTAGTTTCCACAGTCATAAAAATGGGGGAAGATTGTTTACAGGCTGGTTAATTGTATAATTTTTACGTTTTTCGCTTATAACTTTTTTCCGTTCATTTCCATGAGAAAACAGTAATGTACTTTTTTTCTTCTTCTTCAAAAGACCTACAAAACTAGCCCAAGCGTAAAAAATATTGATTAGATCAAAAGTTATAAACAGAAGAAGTTTATTTATCACTTTTGAATTAATCATTTATAAACTGCGTTATTATTACCAGAACGTTTTGGCATCGCAACCTCTCATTCCTTATCACTGTCTAGTAACTCACACGAAATCTGGAATCGGTAAGTTGAATAGTTTACAAGTTATGGCCTTATAAACAAATTTACTAATTATTAGTCCGGACAATCCCGAGCATCTTCCACAATCGCACTGATTTTTTTTCATGGTAGATTTCATAATAATACATTGAAATCCATCATTTTTTATTTTAATTTCAAATTTGCAACCTGGAAAGTTGTTTTTCAACGAATCTTGACGATTTTATTTTATCTTAAAGCTCTGTTTATAGGCTTTTCGAATATGTAATAATATACAACTATATCACGGACGTGCGTCGTATATTTCATTTTGCAACTTAGGCTAATAAATAAAACAAAATTCCAGGTTGCAAAGGAGCCCGCACAAAATGAATGGAAATTGGGTCCCGCTAGATGTGGCTGAAATTGCGATGTTATAGTTCTCGACATTTTGATGAAAAGTTGTCACGGTCCCAAAATGATTCTATGGATAGTTTCAGAGTTTTGACCTTGAAATGATCTTGACTTGACCTAAATGTGACCTTCTAGGGCTAAACTATCCCCAAATTCAGTTCTCCCCAAAAAAACATATACGCACTGATTGAAATTCAATACAAGCCTTTTCTTTAGTTTCATCTTGAAATGATCTTGAATTGTCTTGAAGGTGACCTTTGCGTTACGCTATCTCCAGATTCAGATTCTGCGAGCCCAAAAGCCTATACACTCACTGGTCAAAATTCAATACAAGTCTTTTCTTCAGTTTGACCTTGAAACGACTTTTACCTGACCTCCAGGTGACCTTAGATAGCTAAGCTATCCAAGAATTCAGGTTCAGCGACCCCAAAAGCATTGTACCTACTGATCAAAATTCATTACATGCCTCAGTTTTTGAATGTATCAACTTGAGAACTATAACATATTACAGTTTCAGCCAGTGGCGGCTCGTGAAGGAAGACTCTGGGACTCCGCCCCCCAGATATTTTCAAACTATAAACTTAAAATAATGTATTTATTTAAATCAATAAGAAATCTAAATAGCATGCATTCAATATCTCTTGGATGTTAGGTTGGTTGCATAAAGTGCATGTACTCCGTGAACGTAGCTCAGATTAATGCCATCTGCCATCTATGATCGTACCAAAGAGTTATGTTTGACCGCGCGCGCAATCCCCACTCCATCGCGGA